ACGAGAGGTAGGTGTTCGTGTCTAATGAATGTTTTGTGATTGGAAATGATACTTTACATCTTAAGATATGTTTTTTTTAAACACAAGAGATAGGTGTTAACTTGGGTTTACACATAACTCTACCTTTACCCTATGTTATTACTTATGCCCAAGAAATAATATTAAATGTATATTGCACGCCATGATTGGATAAGTAATTTTATAATGAAAATTATATGTTGACAGTTGCATACAAGTTGTTTTATAAATATTATAATCAAATATCGTTTTCAGGCTAAGTTAATAATGCATATTAGCGTCACTGCAACCACACGCCTGTCTCTGAAGTTGTGTCCATCTGGTAATTTTCTTAGCAGTCGGTTTTAACAATCCAAATAACTTTATCAGCAGTTTATATGAATTGAATCCAGTGTAAAATATGATAATCTACAGATTAGTGGAGAATATCTAAAGATAATTTTTTTGCCCTTCATTCTGTCACTTGGAAAATTGTGAAATGATACATCTTTTGTGTATCTGGAGTCATTTTTTTCCACATAGGTGCATAAAAATGGTAAGCTACATGTTTGAGCATTTTAGTTAAGAGCCTCCCTTTGAAATCAATATGACCAACACATCAAAATAGTTTAAAATTAAAAGGTTATGTAGTAAATATATGCTCACTATAGGCTTTTTGCAAATACAAGTAAAATTGAAGCCTTGGTGTTTTTGTCAGAATTTTAGACCATCAGATCTTTTAAAAAAATTTTCCCCATTCAAAAAAGTAAATTTTTCTTTGAAAATTCACAAGACTTAAGTATTTGTGTTTATTTCAACATTTTGTTCTTCATGAGTTTATGTTCTTCTACAGGAAAGTTGTCTTCACAGTGTAACGCTACACCAAGAGCTATCTGCACTATGTAACTACTAGCATGTGTTTCTTCTAAGCTTTTTTTTATGGTAATATATTGTATTTTTGTTACAGTATGTACGCCTTTTTTCAACAATAGGCCTAACATAATGTCTTGTCCTAACAAAATTGAGCGTCAACTTGTCATTCATTTAACTAGTTGTCCTTGTGGACAACTCATATATATTTATGAAATTATGATTTTGGTTATTTACAAATATCTAAAGCAAGCAAGAAATATGATTGTGTAATTTTATTGTACTATCTTAATAATTATTCTAAATGTAAGGTTTACATGTTGACTTTAGAAAAAACGTTATTCAGCGTGTGCTGGATATTAGTCTTTATAAAGCATTCAACCCTAACGTCAAAAAATACCAACAATGCAAATTAACATAATTGTGCTTGTGGCTAGTTTCTGTACGATCTAACATTTTGTTAACGATACAATATTGAACCATACCATGTAGCGCCACCTAGCGGATACATGAAACATTACTTAGTTTCACATTAATTTCGTAAAATACTGTATTTTTGAACGTAATCTATCTCTCAGACAAAATAAACAACAACAATAATAAACTAACATTGAGGGTTATCAGAAAAGTCATAAGAATGTGATTTGGGCTTTCAATGTTCACAAATGTTTATGATTTAAGTAACAGAGATTTTTAAAACAATTTAATTTCTTTACTAGATCTGTTTTCTCTACATATGATACACTTAAAACAACTATTTGGCTAGAACTTTTCGAAACCCACAAAGTCTTCAAGTCTTCCAGGTATCAGGAATGCAAGAGATGAGCTGAAAAAATATTTAAAACAAACAGCTTAAATTTTATAAGCTGAAAGAAAAAAGCATTCAAATATATAAATCATTATAGATTGGCTGTCACATTTGTGATAATGCTTCTTCTGATAATCACTTTAACTTGAGACTATAATAATCTATTTTCAAACTAAATTGGCTGGTTTTATAACAAGCTACCCCATTATTTTTGGGGGTATGTTTTCAATTAAACATTAGTTCATCACTGTGGACTACAATAATTAAATTACAGAAGAAAACTCAGTGATTCTATAAATTTAGAAAAACAGATGCCTTTTGCTGAAAAATAACAAAATGATTATAAGTTTGAGACAAGGTATGCATATAGTAGATTCACTTCCAAAAATAACAATAGCCTTTTTGTTTATCATAAAGTGTTGATGATCTACATATCATGGTCAAGAATACCTCATAAACCACTGGGTACTTGAAAACAAAAATAGCTCAAGTTCTCTCTCACTTTTTATTTAAAAGTAGTAATACACACATTTAATATTCTACCTATGTGTTGGCAAAAGATGTCCTTGAATCAGAGAACTTTTAAATCATCACTTTTAATTGCATTTAACAATACAGTCACATTGGCAAACTAAAGTAGGGTAAATATTTTCTCTGCAGATATCTTAGTCAAACATACTCCAAACCTATGCTAACACTTGCAGGTATCTTAGTCAAACATACTCCAAACCCATGCTAACACTTGCAGGTATCTTAGTCAAACATACTCCAAACCTACGCTAACACTTGCAGGTATCTTAGTCAAACATACTCCAAACCTATGCTAACACTTGCAGGTATCTTAGTCATACATACTCCAAACCCATGCTAACACGTGCAGGTATCTTAGTCAAACATACTCCAAACCTACACTAACACGTGCAGGTATCTTAGTCAAACATACTCCAAACCTATGCTAACACTTGCATCTCATTACTAATCTGATTTCAGAGAAACAACATGAGGCATTCTGTAATACCTCTTAATGAAGTTTTAGAGACTTCACAAACAGATGCACGATCATCACCAGATGTAGGTGATGTTATATCTTAAATGTTCACAGATAATACTTATACTTGCTGGGTATCTTAAACATTCACAGATAACATTCTTTGGGTGTATTAAACCTTCAGAGATAATACTCACACTGTTTGTATCTTAAACCTTCAGAGATAATACTCACACTGTTTGTATGTTAAACCTTCAGAGATAATACTCACACTGTTTGTATTTTAAACCTTCAGAGATAATACTCACACTCTTTGGGTATCTTAAGTGGTTCTCCATCTGCAATTTTAACTTGATGCAACAAGTTTCTGTACCTGTATTTGACCAGAAGCACCTTGTCTTCTCCAAGACAGGGATCATAAAACCCAGCTAGATTACACTGTAAAGACAAGATACAGAAGTAATATATTTCATTAAGCTTTTCTTAACTGGATACTTAATTTGTAGTAATAATAATAATAAAAGGTTCATTTGAAATAGTCTCAATATTAAATTTCAGATATTGGATTAAAATTCCTTTGACTTGCTTTAAATCCTCTCATTTCTTCTTCTGTTTGACTTATTTATTCATTTCACCCCTCCCTTCCTTTTTTTGGGCTGACACTTGTCTTTGTGATCTCGGGAAGACTGTTAAAACTGAGGTTTTCTTCTTAATAACATTACCATGTACTACCTTACATATCCATGACTTCATTTAATAAACTTATGGTTGACATTATAATATATAAATCTGATGTTATTTATAGCCAGTATGTTTGAAACAAAATTCCAAATATCTGGACAGATATTAAAGTTGCACCTGCCTGAAATAGATTATAGTTGGTTTTGTGTGATGAAAGAAACAAAAGTTGTATTTACTGTTGAGGAAAACTTCCCTCACTAAATATTAATATACTTCATATGTCACTCAGACTTCCTAATATAATAAAAACAACCAACTATAATAATTTATTTCATAACTAGCTGGAGTATCCATCCCTTGGATGGAAATTATGTAAATTCATGTTTAATAATATGTTATTTGAAGACATGAAAAGTTGCTTCCCTTATATTGTAAAAAATGCTAAATCACCAATAGAAACTGGAAAACACAAAACTGAAAATTTGTATGTGCCCCCGCATGGACCTAATGAACCTTCGAACTAATTGTGGTGAAGATCCATCCGCACCCTGTGAAGTAGTTACATAGACACACAACAGACAGTACTATTATTGTATGTACCTCACATGGACCTA